CTCGCCTCCTCCTTCCCCCGCCCTCCGCCCCGGGCTTCTCTCCCCTCGCTCTCCCTCTCCTTTCATCTCTCCGTCTGATCATGTCATCCTCCTTTCGCCTCTCGCTCCTTTTCATCTAATACACTTTCCTCTTCATTTCTCTTCGGAGATTGATGGAGATTCATTGAGTGTGCTCTCGCGAGGAGGGAGTGGGAGGTACGGAGAGGGGAGAGCGGGTGAACGAAACGAATCATTCTCCATCACGCTCTCACGCACACATGCGCTGATAATCCGCGAATCAAAGACCTCATCAAACCGCATGATTAGACCCCTCTATAACGAACGACGCCCCGGTAAATGGCGAACGCGCACTCAACGGCGCCGCGTTGTAGTTTCCGGTCGCGCGAAGAAAACAAAAAAATCCCATCCTAATCGCAAACGAATGAACGAATGGAAAACGGAGTGCTGGGGATAAAAAAAAGCGTCGTCACTTTATTGATTCGTGTAGTCGTCTTATTTATTCCTCATTTGCCAACAAAATGCTGCTTCGCAGCTCTCACAAAGCAGCTGCGTTCTAAGCCTAATGTGCCGCATAGCATTATAACTGGATGAACTATGTCAAAAGCGAGGCATCGCGGAGCCTGTTATTGGGTTCCCATACGCGGGACGTCGGCCGGCGCTCTTCCTCGTAGCCGCGCTGCTGCGTTGCTGCGTTCATTTAAGCCTTGCTCAGCTCCTTCCTCGTAGAGAGCGTCCGTTCGATAGATGTAAGCTCTTGTTGCCGAGATGGTTCAAAGAGACTCTGAAACTTGGTACCGAGCCGTGCAAGGCCGCGCGGGTACAAGCGGAACTTACCTGCCCGCTCTAGCCAGGCGCGTGTCCTCACCAGCCGTGCACACGCTAAAAGGCTTCGCTATGTCGCCTAGCAGCAAGTTTCACAGCCACAAGCAGATTGAGTAATTTAAATGCAGTCCATTGAGAATCTAGTTAGATGTTTTGCTAATCCGACTACCAGAGGAAATACAGAGCAGGTTCTACAAAACGCGACTGTTTTTAAATAAATGACTTGGAAGGTTGCCAAGTCTGAAATCGCACTAGGGTGCCCAGCACCTCAGCGTTTTTCAATTGAGCCCTCCTGGTTGTGGGCCCAACTGCAGGAGGCTCTCTGCGAGCGCGTACCTACCAAGGATATCGAGGGCTTTGGCTTTTGGCGATCGTTATTTTGCTCGCAACGTTACGATTTACCGCAGCCATATCGGGGCGTGGCGGGGCGTGTCGGGGCGACAAACTCCGCCAAAGTCGTGCGTGCGCGGTATATTGCCCGAGTCCAGGCTGTAGGCTGGCCGCAGCCACCCCCTTCGGGACGTCTCAGGGTCATTACAACACAAGGGCCTCGCCCCCCCCCCCCCCCCACACACACACACACACACACACACACACACACACACACAGGGCCTCTCCTTTCCCGCCTCTAACACACATATATTCGGTGCGCAGGTGGTGCTGGTGGTGGCGGCCAACCAGCAGATGCGCAGCACCACCAACCTGCTCATCATCAACCTGGCCGTGGCCGACCTGCTCTTCATCGTGTTCTGCGTGCCGTTCACCGGCACCGACTACGCGCTCACCTTCTGGCCGCTGGGCGACACCTGGTGCAAGATCGTCCAGTACCTCATCGTGGTCACGTCCATGGCGTCCGTCTACACGCTCGTGCTCATGTCGCTCGACCGCTTCCTTGCCGTCGTCTACCCCATCTCGTCCATGACGGTGAGTTAAACGATAGTGCAGGGAAAATTCAAGTGTGTGAATGTCACACACCCGCAAGTGCGACACACCTGTAGGTGTGTGTGTGTGTGTGTGTGAACAACATTTGCGGACATTGGGGAAGAGAGTGTAAATTTCAAATGAAAGTTTACACCATTACTCTTTTAAGTGTACGAATGTCACACTTGCGTTTTCAGTGAGTGTATGTGATAATTGCCGTGATATGAAGGCGGTCCCCGGGTCGCGCTGCGCCAGTCGCATTTTAGCCACCGCGAGGGCTTCTTTTTTTTGTAGAGTCGACGGAAAGAAATTGAATTGCTCCCCGATAAATGGTTTTCTCGTCAATTTCGGGCGGCGCAAGGGCGGGCTGCTGCGACTTCTTGAAAGGAACGATGGCAAGGAAGGAGGGGGGATCGGGAGGGGGGCATTTAATTCTTTTCGCTCGGTGACGGCGGTGACTTAATTACCGCCCAGCGATCTGCCATCTGCAGCGGCCCGCGCCTTGGCGGCTCGGCGAGGGGAAAGAATGGGCCATGCACTTTATTTAAACTGGAGAGAGGCTCCCTGAGGAGGGAATGAATGAAAGAGTATCCTGACTGCCGCGCCCCGCTGCTGTGTTGTTCGCCGTCGCCGCACGCCTATAGTCATTTCGACTTTGAGCTCTCATTTTCTTTCCCCCTCGCGCCGTTGCCGACCCTTTTCTACAATCCGCCATTTTTGTTCACCAGTTTTCTGGAGGGGTTTCCTCAGCTTTCACATGAATTCATAGCGAATCGCTCGAAAACGATATCGTTTTACACACGTGTTTTGTTTGGCCGTGTGTAAAGGAGGAGGCCACGACACAGTTTGCTGGTCCTTTGTGACCTCTCCAGTCTCGTCGCCGGCACGTCGCACGACGCCTGGGCTGTGGTCTCTGCCACCTCCGCCCCCGGACCCGTTGTTATCCCCCGCCCAGCCGAGTAACGTGAGACTGCACCGTCTCACCAGCCGGGCTGCGCGGGCGGCAGGCGGACCAAGAGGTTGACGGTGTTAGTATTCCGCTCCTCATGGTTCGTCTAAGCAGCCCATCAGCCCCTTAGCCCCTTTCCGACTCGGAAATGATTTCTCCTGCAGTGCACACGGAAGGCGAGCAGAGTGAGATATAATAATACTTCACTGTTTAAAATTCTGTACTCAGACACAGAATTCATACAGATCGTCCTGTACTTCCATACTTCGGTCAAAATCTGTTCGACTGGTATGTGAGGGATATAGACATTGCTTGAAAAGAACTTTCCTCCAGAATAAGGTACAGTGCAAACTACAGGATTACACTGTTTTCAAAATTACCGCCAGTCCATTCTGTACGTATTTACTGTTGTAATTTTTAACGGTGTTCTCTCTTGATTCTTAAGCGGTCCGTTAAAGAGGCGCCCGGGTACATGGGCGTGCAGCGGGTTATTTGCGTGACAGCGCTGGAGAGGTCTGGAGAACGCCGCCCAAATTATTCTAGCACGTCCCCCTGGGGTAGGGTAAGATGCCCTATTGTGGCCAGTGTACCATTGATGGCCACCCTCGTCTTTTGGCCCCCATTACCGCCAACCGAGCGACATTTGAGATGCGCGCCTTTTACGTCCGTATTCTGTCATGTATTGGCAGCATGGTTCCGCCAGTGACGTAGTTCGGCCGCGTCCCGGAAGAGCGCACGACAGCATCGCGCGAGACGCTGCACTGTCGTCCGCTCCGCCAGTGGTTTTCTTAGGTAGTCTGTTTAGTGCGGCGTTCCGGAAGAAGCGTTGCCGTTCGGCGTGTACTGATCGGAGCTACTCGACAAGCATATCTACTGAACCGGAAAAAGGTGAGCTACAAATCTACGATGCGACTTTTTTTTAAAACAAAAAAATAGCGGTGAAAGGGGGGGTGGCCACTATTGGGACAGCATAAACAATGCATGTCCTAATGTGGCCACACTACCAATATATGATGTATTACTCTCGTTAACGTGGGAAGAACGACTGAGGATGTTAGCCACGTAGTCGTCAGACAATAGTGTTGTGTTTACCACTGCGGGCCACTCGCTATTTTGCAGCGAACTGCCGAGAGTGAGCGAGAGAGAGCGACGCGGCCGCTGTTTGTTGGTGGGCGTGCGGCCCAGCGCTCTGCATGCCTGGTTGGGGTCGTCTGCTCGCATAGCCACCTCGGCTAGGTGCGATCGGAACTGTAGCCGACTCCCCCCCCCCCGCCTCTCTCTCCCCCCCCCCCCGCCTCTCTCTCGCTCCCTGTGCAGGAGCGCCGCCAAGCGTGCGCCAAGCCTTGCCGGCGACTGGACGCACTGCTGCCCAGCGATCGGCGTTCGCCCTGCGCTGGCGTTGCCCCGAGGGAATGCCCAAGCGGTAGTGAGAAGCAGGAAATGTGCATGTTGTTTTAAATATTAATTCTATTATTTTACGTAGGTGTGGCGCATGGCTCCAAAATCATTTCGCAAAGAACAAGAGGAACGCGTGCGTGCAGCCGTGGAAGATGTCCGGAAGCGTCACATGGCCATCAACGCTGCAGCGAAGGAGCACAATGTGCCCCGAGGTACGCTACGGCATCGGCTTCGGGGGGTCGACCCGCAGCGAGGCCGTCGCCCAGTACTGACTCCAGAAGAAGAGCAGCTTCTTGTGGACTGGATTTTGGATTGTTCTCGGAAGGGTTTCCCTCGGCGGAAAATGGATGTGCTTTTGAGCGTCAAAGAATTTCTAGACAAGGCTCCCGAAAGAGAACATTCATTTGCTAATAATTTACCAGGTATAGCGTACACCATACATTTTCGCTTCAATGTTCATGTCGTTACGAACAGACTTCTTACTTCTGTTTTCAATTCTCAGGAACCAAATGGTACCGCCTCTTTCTGAAGAGACACCCTAACCTTTCGGAACGAACACCAGAGGGCATAACCAGAGCAGCAGGGAACGTGAGCGAGCAAGATATCCGAAAATGGTTTGAGGAGATTCGAGTCATACTGGAAGAGGAAGGTGCGTTGGAAGCCCTCAAAGACCCTGACAGAGTTGGGAATGGGGATGAAAGCAATTTTCGACTTTGTCCAAATAAATCGTTTGTTCTTGCTGAAAAGGGGGCCAAGGATGTCTATGAGGTCTCTCCCACTAGCGATGACAAGTTCGCTGTTACGGTAATGTTTGCGTACACGGCATCTGGGAAAAGGGTAGAGCCCATGATCATTTTTCCGTACAAGAGAGTGCCAGCCGCACTTGTGAAAAGTGTCCCTCCTGCTTGGGGGATAGGCAGGTCAGATTCCGGATGGATGACCGCTGAAACCTTTTATGAATGGATAAGTAGCATTCTAGCTAATTTTCTTGAATTCAACAAAATCAAGACCCCGTTTATTCTCTTTGTTGACGGGCATAAAACACATTTGACACGGGAGACTAGTTCTCTCTGCAAAGAGCTTGGCATTGTACTGATTGCCTTGTATCCCAATGCCACACACATCCTACAACCGTGTGACGTGGCTGCGTTCCGGCCTCTGAAAGCTGCCTGGTCGCGTGCCCTTTTGGAGTGGCGCCGTAAGCACCCTCATGATTCTCTAACTAAAGAATGCATTGGTCCGATACTGAACACTGCTCTGCAAAAGGACATGACCCTGTCTCTTGTCAATGGATTTAGAGTGACTGGACTTCACCCCTTCAACCCTGACGCTGTTAATTACAAGAAATGCAAAGGACACGTAAACAGGGCCCCAGAGACCGAGGCAGAACAACAGCAAGCGGATCTCCCAGTAACGCTTACTATGACAAATTTCCAGGACTTGGTAGGGGAAGAAATAATCCGCTCCCTGCAGAGTTCCGCACCGGAGCTGCAAGACAATGCAGCTTTGGCAGCACTGCACCGGGTGTATTCCGCTCTGCAAGGCAAGCCGAGGAAAGAGCATGTTACTGTGGCGGTCGTGAGCACAGAATCGGTAGCCGGCTCCTCACAGGCACTAGATGAAAGCCCTATGCAAGTGGATCTCAGCTTGGTGCGGCAGGAACCGTTAGACGACGACCCCGACGACCCACCCGAGGTTGACGCCGAACCTCGCCCGGGAAGTAGCGCCTCTAGCGTGTCCTTGCGGGATGTCCTTGTGTGGCCTCACAGTCCCAAGCGCAAGGGCAAGCGGAAGATGGAACGTATGCCCTACGTCACCACGTCCAAGAGATGGCGCGAGATGCAGGAAGAGAAAGATAGGAAGAAGAAGGAGGAGGAGGCCGAGAAGGAGGCGCGAAAGGAGGCGCGCATTGCTAAGAAGGCTCTCCAGGACGCCGAGAAGGCTGCTAAAGAAGCTGCCGCTGCAGCCAGGCGTCTACAGGCTGCGCCAGAACGGCGCAGGACTCGCCAAACCAAGTAATTTCTAGGGTGGCCATCAATGGGCACAAGGGTGGCCATCAATGGGCAAGGTGTGGCCATCAATGGGCAAAATGAACTGTTTCTTTACTAATTTTTTTATCTATGAATAAACTTTAATTTGACGTTTTCGCACGTGGTGGTATTTTCTTTGAACCTTCTAATACACTCCTGATTTTTCTGGTGTAGATGTGACGTATGGCTGCGGCTTGGTGGAGGAAAAAGCAAGGGCGTGCGCTTAAAGTGGCCATCATAGGGCACCTTACCCTACTAGACTAGCAGTGCCTGGAGCAATTTGCACTAAAGCCGCGGTTTATAAATGCATGACACGGTCAGACGGGGGTGGCTGGGGATGGAGGGGTGAGGGGGAGAGAAGAGGCGCAGGCACGAGCCGCCAGAGCAGTGTCGCTTCGTCAGTGGTTCATGGAAAAGTTTCTGTCGGGCCTTGCGAGCGCGGAACGCGCGGAAACCTCGCAGCTGGACCCGAACCGCGAGGTGTGAGTGGCCTGCTCGTCACGATGTTCGCGGCAGCAGCCCCTCACCGTCCCCTTTCAACTTTTCCTCTTCCGGGAAGGGGGTTTGCGTGGGGATGAGGGGGTGCCTCTCTCTCACCACTTCCTGGGCCAGGTTCCCTCCCGCTCACATTTCCTATCTCTTTCCCCGCCCTCTTCTCCCTCTTACAATCCCTTCCCCCGCCACCCTCCAACCGCAGAAACCCTTCCTCGCACCACGCGTCCCTGTCCCTCACACCCGCCCAAGGCCGCAGGCAGGACTCAGGTGGGGGGAAATAAGGCACCATGTGCCTTCCCAAAAAATGGATGGAGGGGAAACCGGGGCCCGCCGCACAGGGAGGTGGAGTGATTTCCCTTTCGTAATCATGGGAAATGTCGACGCAAGGAAAGCTGGCCTCGCCCTTCCCCGGGGTGGCGCTGGAAGCCCTTTTATCATTTCCCACCAAATTCTGCAGTCAAATATCACACGGTGGCAGGACGCAGTGAAGCGGAGAGTTTATTTGCTTTCTCGATTACTTCCTGTTGTATCGACTCAAATACACACACTCTCGCCGAATATGTGCGCGCCATGTGCCCCTTTTTTGATTTGATCGGTTTTACTCGGAAGTATTTCTCTCTTGGGTGCACTGTAAACATAAATGTACCGTACGACAAGTTTATAGACCATTAAAAAAGTCATTACTATCGGGAAAGGCGCAACATGTCACGGTTTTCCGAAATATATTTTGTCAATACCGAGCATTTTTTATTTCAAAGCTACCCATCATAATCAGCTAAAAATTCTGCGTTGAACGAGCCTACATGGGGTTCATGTGATCGGGATTTGATCCACGCCCACGTTAAAATAAAGACAAAATAAAACTCAACCCAGTCAACATTGCTTCGGATCGGACCTTTATCACACATTTGCTCGTTTGATGCGGAATTTTTCAATGAGTGGTTATGTACGGTGGACTAAAGATCCCACGAAAAGCGAGAAACATGAGGTCTCTTTTGTCTGCTGTGATGATACAAAAAAGGGTCCTTACTTCAGCGTCCCTCTATTGCTTCACACCAGGGTGGCCTTGTTCTCGGTGGCTCTGCCCAACAGCCTCCGCAGTGCCGGCACTTTTCCTCGTAGGAGATGAAGGGTGAACAGGGCGGCGTAGGTGCGCCACGGCAACGGCCAAATGGCGAATGTCAGAAGGGAGTAGCACGTGGGCGGCTTACAGCGTGGTAGCGTGCTGCGTCGGCATGAGAAAGTAAAAGTGTGTGCGAAAATGGATACGCGCCGTGAGCTTGCTGGGTGTAAGGAGTGGGCCACCTGAGGGCAGCATGCCCTCTCCACACTCTCATGCCGCCACCATGCGCGCGTCCTGCGGCGTGTGTGTCGTTGCCCACGGCATACAGTTACACACATTCACGGCTTTGCTTTTCCAAGAGCGCGCGCACGGTGGGGCTTTTTATCTTGTTTTTTA